CAATTTTCATGTAATTTTTTGTGTTGATTGCCAGGCTCAGTTCCTATTAAGGATCCACTAGTCATATAATTTTTACTAAATGAACTTAATTTGCCAATATCTGTAGCATCTAAATCCTCATTGCCTGAAAAGGATGTCTTAGTGGAGAACTTTGGAGATCTGGCCTTTTTTGCCCCATCCCCTGCTATGGATCAAATTCTGCTCCCAAAAAGATATGTTGAAGTCTTAACCCCTGGTACTTGTGAACTCGACTTTGTTTGGAATTTAAGATCTTTTCAGATGTAATCACATTAATAAAAGGTTATTAGGGTGGGCACTAATCTGACTGTTCCCTTTTAACAAGAGATGAAGACACATACCATAAGCTGTGTACACAGAGAGAACATCCTATAACCTCAGAGGTAAAAGACTGGAGTAATGAATTTATAAACCAAGTGAGGACAGGGATAGTTGGCAATTTCAGAAGCTAGTAAACAGGCATGTAACAGATTCTCCACTAGAGCCTTCAGGTAGATCGTGGCTCTGCTGACACCCTGTCTTTGGACATCTAGCTTCTAGAACTGTGGGAGAATGAATTTCTGTTTTTATTTTTTTCCCCATTTCCGGTAATTAGTTTTAGGCAACTCTAGAAAACTAATATATCCTCTTCTCCCTGCTTGATCTTGGTCTACCTCATTATTATGCCTTGTTGGGTTTATATGTATATATAATTTTGGTTGAAACTGGGAATTTGATAAATAAAGTTACTTCTGGTAGTTGCAGAATCAGAATATGTTCCATTTGGCTTGCATTTTTTTTCCCCCTTTAAAGGACATTTAATTAGGAAGAAGACATGGATTGATATTACAACTCTCTGCTGGTCTTTTTTCATCACTATAAGTTAGTATGACCAATATTCTTAACCTTGTTAAATTTTTGCACAAGTTTTAAAATATCAATATAAAGCATTTTAAGATTGAGGACTAGGTTATACATGTAGACTTTCCTATTTAGTACTTGTTATTGTTTGATACTTACATCTCTTTATTATATAGTTCTTTATTGTTGATAATATCCTTTCACATAAAATTTATTCTCTGTGGTCATAAAAACTTTCCTACTGATATTTTATAGAATGATTTTTCCCTGTAAGTTTATTAAACACCCAAACAGCTAAGTCTTATACATTTCTAAAAGCTTTTTGTTAATAATACTCTGATTTACAGTTTATATATGACTCTTTCATTTGATGACAGATAATATATTTTAAGTTTAGAGAATAAATAAACATGCATGTATTCTAAAGAAAGGAAAATGCAATATTACATTAAGTATATTAATAATCAGGATTTTCTTATAATTGAAATATCAGTGAAGCATTCATGTTCAAAGTCTTTTTTGTTTGTTTTGGTACCAGAGATTGAACCCAGGGGTGCTTAGCAACTGAGCCACATCCCCAGTCTTTTTAAAATTTTTCATTTTGATACAGGGTTTCACAGCTTAGGGCATGCCAAAGTTGCTGAGTATTTGAACTTGTGTTCCTCCTGCCTTTGCCTCCTGACCTGCTGGAATTACAAGTGTGTACCACCACACCAGGCTCAGAGTTCTTTTAAGAAAATATAGCCATTTGACAAATGGAATAATCCATTCAGATACCAAACAACAGTGGGATAATTAGTTTTATAAGTTACTTTAGGAACTGGCTGAACTGCTTTGCATCAGATTTTTCTTAGTAGCATAAATAAATCAATGTAGAAAGAAAACTCATTGATCATTATTTTATTATAATATTGTATAAATACTGTATTTTGTATATTTATAAAGCTTGTAATTTACTCAGTATATTCATGAACAGGGCAAAACTAAGATAGCTATAAAAGAGAAGTTGGCCAAATACCAATCCTAAAAAACAAAACAAAACAGAACCTATAAAGGTCTTAAGAAGATTTTGATTTAATTCACTGCACACAGAAAAGCAAGCAGAAAACTAATCACAGTATTGGAACAAATTAAAGACCTAGAATTACAATTTCTGTGGTAATTATATCATATTGTCAAAATAATTTTCTTTGAAAGCAGTTTAATGGAAAGTTTACAAGCATTAGAAGTGAGAGTGATTTTGATGGATCAAAATTAAAGACTAGAACATAGGCATGGAGTGATACCGAGGGCTGTTAGGAAGACAGAGGGTTTACTATATTTGGTCTGATTCTAATCCAGAAAGAGAATTAGTTATTGATATGGAAATGTTGAATCATTTAAAGAATTGTGCATATAAAGAACCATTTATTCAGACAAAATTTAAAAAGGAGGAAAAAAAAAACCCTTTTGTTTAATATTCAGAGGAAAGACAGTTACAATTTGATGACCCTGAAACTGTAAAAGGAAAGCTATACCTCCCTAGAATAATTATCTATGATAACTAAGAAATTCAGACAAAGAGAAGGGCCAGGGACTGATCTAGTTGCACAAGCTCCTTAAAATGTATTAACAGTATAAAAAAATTATATGGAAAAGGAGATATGTAACCAAAGGTGAATATAATAACAATTTAATTCTATTCATGAATAGAATAAACTAAGTCCTATTAAAAAATAAATAAAAGAATGAATAAGTGAAAATACTTTCTTATGTTTGGGACAAAAAAGTGAAGTAGATTAATAATAGGTAGTGTTACAGCACATGCAATTCTTCTACCTGTACTAATGCATTATTAGCCCAGTCAAATTGTAACTTAGATTGCTGAAAGGACCGACTCCTGTACCATTATTGTCTGGCTTAGAAGAAATATAAATGGAAGTAGAGTTTCAAATTTGAAAATTTAAAAAAACATTATGTATTGGAAGCTAAATTAAGTTTAGTTCACCAAATGTTAGATACCTCCTGTATACTAGGGATTATGCTAAGTTTGGGATAAGAAAAATGATAAATGGCTTGAACAGTTTACATTAAATCAGAGTCCCAGACATACACAATATGAATGAATGCTATTTTAGAGGTTTATTGTAAAACATACAATTAAAAAATAATCAATGTTCTTTTTTCAGTTTCCTTTTTTACACAAAATTCAGTCTTCAGGAAGATACCAACTAAAACCACAACTACACATCAGAAGTGACTAAAATATTGGCTAGATTGTGTAATGCCAATGAATTTCTCATAACCTGCCGGTGAGAAATTTAAGTATTAAAATCACTCTGGAAAATTTTTTGGCAGTATTCACATATTCCATGACCCAATAATTCTACTCTTACACATATACCCAGGCAGAATTCTAAGGTGAGTCCCAAGGTACCTGTCTGTGGCATACACATACCTATTCCTCATAATTTAAACACTCATTCAGCTGGGTGAAAAAGCATTTTGCTGATAAGTTCCAAAATTAGTAAGCCTGATTTAATCAGGTAATCCTTCAAAACGTCCTGGATTCTTCTCAGTAAAAGTTTCAGAGGGTAAGAAGGATTCATTGGGTGCTAGATATTTTCTTGCTGGCCTTGAAGATAGAGAGGATCACATAGTAAGGAATACAAAATAACCTCTAGGAGGTGAGAATGTACTCCCTGGCAGCAAGAAGATGAAGTTTCAGTCCTATAAGTAAGAAGCTGGATTTTACTAGCAACCAGAATGAATTTAGGAGTAGATTCATTCTTTCTCAGCACTTCCACAGAGGGATACAGGAATACAACTTGGCTGTACTTGGATTTCAGCCTTGTAAGTCCCTGAGCAGAGAACCCTAGGCATGCAGTATCTGGACATCTGACTAACAGCAACTGTGGAATAATATACGAGTGTTGTTTTAAACCACTAATTTTGTGGTAATTTATTATAGAGCAGTAAAAAAGTAATACAAATTTGGTATCTAAAAATCACTGCAACACATAAGAATATGTCATGTCAAATGTTTTGTTAATTTCATTCTAATATGAACATCATAAAGTGTATTTAAATGAAGATGGCACTAGGCAGTAATCTTATGGAACTACTGTTATGTCTTTGTTCACTGACAACTTTGCCACCTTTGATAGAACTCAGAAAATAGACCACTTACCTAATACTTCCTGTCCCCCATTATTGTTTCAGATGTTAGACTAACTATCCAGTTAAACCTGTGTTTTAAAAGTTTAAGAATAACCATTAAAAGAACAGAAAATATAAAACATTAGAACCAACAGAGGAGGGGAAAAAAGAATGAAGAAAATGAATCAGTAATGGTTATCAAAACATAAATGATGAGAATAAAAAGATGGAAGAAATAAGGTCAACGATATCAGTAGTCAAGATCATTGTTAATATGCCAAATTTGTCTACTAAAATTTTGAGATTTTCGGATTGGACTCAATCTGAAAATCAGCAGAATGTAACCTTAAATTGTACTATATAAACTTAAAAGCATAATTACACAAAGGGAAATGGAAAGAAATAGAGGGTAAAATGCAGATCATGAAAAAAAATATATGTAAGGTTGGTATGGAGAAAATATTAGTTTCACTGAAGGATGAAAGAAATTCTAAACAAATGTAGAACTTCATAGGAAGGAATAAAAAAGCTTTAAATATCACTTCTACCCAAATCAATCTATAAATTCAGTAGAATTCCGATCATATATATGTTCTTCATAGTTTATCTTATCTAATTCATAGTATTACTATTCATGGTCTAACAGTGATTATTATCATTGTATATTATTGCGTATTATCATCATTGTTTATTTTCACCAGAGGTATTGGAATTAAAGCTTATAGGTTAAAGGTTACACAATGAGTGATGTAGCCAGATTTGAGACGTGCTAACTTCAAAACTCCTCTTTTTTTCAAACATTCCACGCTATCTGTTTAGTATATGACCTTGTGTAAGTTGATTTAACATTATTAAGTATTAATCACAATGAGTAGATATGTCTAATGGTTGTATATCATTTTTGCTTCCCTTGAATCGCTACATCATAATTAACTCGTTAATGCAGTCAGTAAAACTTGGCAGGCATTTTTCTTATTTCCTTTTACATATATTTTCTCTTGCAGGGTTACATTTTGCCATCTGCCTTTCCAGAGTAAGTGGCTCTATGTGGGTACTGAACGAGGTAATATACATATTGTCAATGTGGAGTCCTTCACACTCTCAGGCTACGTCATTATGTGGAATAAAGCCATTGAACTGTGAGTTTGAGCAAATGTTCAATATATAAAGTATCAGTATCCTATTCGATAATATCATTTTAAAATAGCCAATCAGTAAATCCATATGAAACTAAGTATGTGTCAGATGTCTTGATATCTAATTAGGATTTGTTAGTCTTTTGTAAATATTATCCTTTTGGCATGGCAGTTTATAAATTTAAATGCTTTATATGTTTAAATAGATTAATATACACCATTACATGTACATATATTCAAATATGTATAAACTGCAAAACAAGTTTAATGAGATTATCTTAATTATTAATAAGTTAAAGAACATGATTTTTTAAAATTCTTTAATCTTTTTAATTTTTCTTTTAAATGTTTGTCATGATTCACAGATAGGCTCACAGAATTTAGATGATCTTGATCTACAGTACTTCTTTGATATGATTTAATAATCAATAAGTATAATGCAGATATTTGCTGAAGTGAATGTATTACAGTTAATTATGAGATTAATTATACTTAATTTTGATTCAGTGATGATTTTTTTAAATTTACCAATATTAACAAAAACTTGTCCCTAAGGATCTTTCATGCTAACTTTTCACTCTTACAGATTTTTTTTGTGTCTTATCTTTCTACACATTTTTTTTTGTGTTGTTTGGATAGGCAAATAAATGTTTAAAGATATTAACAAGATGTTTTTTCAGTGTTTCCTTTTATTTTTAAACAAATACTCTTGTTTTGCATCCTACAATATTTGTCTTTTTGATACAAGGATAATTTTGTGACATGTCTCTAAATGTGTCTGGGTAGCTATAATAGTGTATTAAGACTGGCTTTCCCTCCTATGGCAGGAATGTCATTAGCATATATCAGTTTCTTGGTAAGATGGGTTTTTGAGTCTGTTTTTTGACTTGATCATGACATCTAGTGGGTAGGCCTTGTTTGGGCGTCTACAATTTCATAGACTTTCATAAAGTGGAGTGGTTTCTTAGCCTATAGAATTTATGAACAAGGGGTATACTTTTTCCTAATGTATCAGCATTTCAGGCATATTCTTATCTAGATGACTTCTTTTTCTCTGATAGGTGACATTACTTTGTCAATTTTTAAAAATGTAATAGAATTTTTCCTGTTCTGGTAAGAATTTTGGAACTTGGCAAGATGCCCAAATTGGAGAGTACTAGTAAAATAAAATATTAATGTTTTAAATGCTGTACTGTTTAAAAATATTAACTTTAAGGTTTCTATAAGGAAAATAGGTTTACTTTGCTGAAATCTTTGACTAAATTGAAAATTCTTTTCTACATAAAAAGTGTATTTAATTGTAAATTTAGTTGACATGTGTCAACTTGAATGTAACTTTTGGTGTATTTGCCCTGGTTCCTAATGTGATTCTTATTAAGAACTATATAGCTGTTATTGAATACTTTCTGAAATGCCTTCTTCTTTTATAAGTAATTATTTATTTATTTATTTATTTATTCTTGTAATGAATATGTATCCATTTTGAAATTTTTTAATTGAGAAACATATCTATCTTAACTTTTCTTTTTTTTTTTTCTTAGATCATCTAAATCTCACCCAGGGCCTGTTGTCCATATAAGTGATAATCCAATGGATGAGGGAAAGGTAGAATCTTATCTTAAAATTTTTGTTTTATTTAAATGCATGATTTTTGTGTTTTTAAACATGCAAACTATTCTAGGACCACATGCTGAAAAGTTGAGATTGCTAATAAAGATTGTATATTGTATGCACTTAACGGTTTGTTTTTCAAGTAATACAAGTAAAAGAATCAGAGTGATTTGTAATTTGAAAAAGCAAAGATACACTAAAGCATAAGTAAAATTTAATTATTAATTGCAAATAATAAGCGTAATTTAAATACTTTCAATGATTTCAGTAATTTAATAAATTTAAATTATTAATTTATATTTGGCTTAATCAAAATATTTTCCCTGATTTTCTGATAAATTGGACAAAAAGTTTGGTCTGGGGTTCCTTTTAACATTTTAGTTATGTAGTTTTTATAGTGCTTTTCATTTATTGCCTTATGTTAGAGTTATCTCTATATCTCATTTCCCTTAAATTTTCTTTATAATTCCAGTTACTAAGGGAGAGGCTTTTTGAAATGTTCTTTAAGTTTTGTATAATTTGAGATTTTTTGAAATGTTATTTAATTTTTAAGTGTGGTAAAGGATGAAGCTGAAAAGGTAAGAAATAGATATGCCATTACAGTACGTTGTGTTATAGAATTTGAACTTTACCTTAAAAATAATAATAAGGCCATTAAAAAGCTTTAAGTGGAAGCATACATAACCCTGTTGATTTGCATTTTTTAACTGTACTCTAGCTCCAATATGGAATGGGTTAAAATAGAGTCGAGGAGAACAGAAAGGATATCTGTATATCTTGAACCATGATGAAGATACTGGGGATGGAAGGACATAATTTAGGAAGATAAGAGAATGTAATCTTAAATTTACTTGTTTTTTTATTACATGTTGAGGGAGGAACTAGAGTTAAAGATGATCCTTGTGTTTCTGGCTGGAACATCTGAATAAATGTGGTGATAAGGAATAGTGAAAGAGACCTGACAACAGTGAATGCCAGAGAAACTGAGAAGAGAAGGATGTAATTAATTCATGTTGAATATGTTTACTTAGAGGTTCTAATAAAGATAAGCAATGATATCATCATTGGAAAGATGTACCTAAGTCTCATGAAGAGTTTCTAGGCTGTTTATGATTTAGAACTAATCAATATATTGATTTAGTGAGATTGCCTGAGAAAGTGCAGAATTTGAAAAGTTTATTATTTCTAAAGCACATACAAATGTTAATTTTTATTAGTAATTAACTTTAAGGTTAATTTATTAGTGAAAATGTGTGCATAGGATGTACTTTTTTCTTTTTCAAAATGTATGTTGAGTCCCTTATCAAAGGCATATAAATATGCAATTCAGTGTTCTTATTTGCCATCTATGTGATTAGTAACTGGCAGTGACAGCATTTAGTTATATTATAATTTATACTTGAAAGATATGAATGATAATAGTTACGTTTTATATAATAGAATATAATAAACATTTTATATAATAGAAAATCATCCCTAGATAAAGCGGCTTTTTCTTTTATTATAGCTTTTGATTGGCTTTGAATCTGGAACAGTAGTCTTATGGGACCTCAAATCAAAGAAAGCTGACTATAGATACACATATGATGAGGTAACAACATTACTTTTGCTAATAAAAGCTGTTTTCATTTCTCTAATTCAAAACACCTTCTCTAAGAACTTGTTGCTTTTAGTTTAGATAACCCATGTAATTGCACTAAAATGTAGGTTGTTCTCCCATTATTAATTTATTCAAATAATTCAAAAGATACAAAATTGTCCACTCCTCATATTTGGTGACCTAATTCCTTTACAGGTAGTTACCATGCTATCAATTTCTCATGTATTCTTCCTGAGAGTTTATGTATATTTAAAAGTAAATTCATAAATATGTTCTATTTTTTCTTTTGTATCGATAAGTGTTATATAGTTTGCTTGCTTTATAGTCCAAATAAGGCAAATAATAGATGCTCAAAAACTGAAGGATAAAAAACAGAATAAAGATTGTGATTGAATTATAAGCCTTTTAAATTAAGTCTTTTTTAATCTATAGGCCTTTTTACTCACTCCTCACCTTCTTTCCTTATGTGGCTCCTCCTTTTGGTCACTTATTTTTTGACAATTTAGTCTCCCAGATATTCTATTTTTCTGTTTGCATCCTCATTGTCTTTAACATCTTTTTTAAAAATATCTTTATTTTGTTTATTTTTTTTTATGTGGTGCTTAGCATTGAACCCTGTGCCTGTCTCACGTGTGACAGGCAACCGCTCTGCCACTGAGCCCCAACCCCAGCCCCAACATCCTTTTTTTTTTAAGACATTTTTTTCTTCCCCTCAAATTACCTATAAATTGGATGGCTTATGAGGCTTGATCAAATTCAGGTTCATTTTTCATTTTTAGCAAGACTGATGATGCTGATACTCTTCCATCAGCTGGATCCCCATCTGTTAGTGATATTGGCAGTCTGTGGTGCTAAAGACCTAGATCTTCTAATGCATAAGTGGTTGCAAATGCATTTCTTCTCTGTAGTAAAAGAGAAACTTCCTCTTATGCTGGTTGGTTCTATAATAATACTGTTTATATAGCAGAAGTAGAATAAATGCTGAATTCATAATCTTTATTTTGGTACATGTTAAGCATTCCTAATCTGAAAGTCCAAAATCTGAATTATTCCAAAATGCTTTTTGAGCACCATTCAAAATATTGAGTATTTGGGGGGTTGGGATTAAGGATATTTAGTAGGTGAAATCTATGCAAATATTCCAGAATCAAAAAAACTTTGAAATCTGAAACACTTCTGTTTCAGTCATTTCAAATAATCAACCTGTATTTGCTCCAAAGAGATTATTTTCTAGGAATCTCAGTGATAAAGCAGTTTAATTTTATTTCATTTTCACTGTGTGCTTAATGATTGAGCCATATAATGTATGTTAGTCCATTAAAGTTATTATTTATATTGCTTTTCAAATTGTGCCAGTGAACCTGTGTCTTGGTGATAACCATATATTCCCCTGGGTCTTGGTAATAATCCTATATTCTTGGATAGCTTCCTTGCTATCTAATTTTAAAAAGATTTTTACTGATCTTTTTTATCCTCAACCAAACTTAAAATAAGATTTTTTTTCTTTTCTTTCTTTCTTTTTTTTTTCTTTTCTTTTTCTTGGTACTGGGGATTGAACTCAGGGCACTCAACCACTAAATCATATCCCCAGTCCTATTTTTTTTTTTTTTTAATTGAGAGACAGGTTCTCATTGAGTTGCTTAGTGCTTTGCCATTGCTAAGGCTGGCTTTGAGCTTGTGATGCTCCTGTCTCAGCCTCCCAAGTTGCTGGGATTACAGGCATGCACCATTATGCCTAGCAAAGTAAGATATTTTGCCATGGAATTATGGCAGAGTTTTTTGTTTTTTGATTGTGTGTGTGTGTGTGTGTTTTGGTGTCAAACAGTAGCTGGCATCATGATTTGGATACTGGGATATTTATGGTTTTCCATTCCTGTGAATAAAGCTATTGCTAGGAAATGTGTAAGTGGTTTTATCTCTTTAAGATAAAATGTGAGTTACGCTTTCATACTGAAACATTGTTACTCAAGGACAGACTGAATTGGGTAATTACAGCAATACTTTGAATACTTTGTAAATGCTTGCATATTAAGCATAATATATCTGACCAAAAGTAATTTCCTTTTTAGTCATAACATCATACTGTTTGTTTCTCATGAATCAAGATCTTCAAATTAAAAATTTTTTTGAATAAAGTTTTTATTATTTCTCTAAAAGTTTCTTGTAGAATTGAAAGCATATTTTTTAAAACTTATTTATTTTTTATTAGTTCTAATCAATTATACATGATAGCAGAAAGCTTTGTGATTTATTGTACACAAATGGAGCAGAATTTTCCACTCCTCTGGTTGCACATGAAATAGAGTCACACCATTTGTGCAATCACATATGTACCTAGGGTAATGATGTCCATCACATTCCATCATAGTTCCTACCCCATGCCCTCCCCTTCCCTTGGCCCCATCCAAAGTTCTCCACCCATCTCATGCTTCCTAATGCCATTATGGATTAGCATCCATTTATCAGAGAAAACATATGGTCCCTAGTTTTGGGGATTGGCTTATTTTGCTTAGCATGATATTCTCCAGCTCCATCCACTTACCTGAAAATGCCATAATTTTATTCTCTGAAAACATATTTTTAAAACTGACTTTTTTGGTTTTGGATTTTATAAATTTAAATAGTAATCTTGTCTTAATCTATTATTGAGCCACGGGAATTAGATTTACCTTTTTATCTTAAGCAAAGAAACTGGACACTGTACGTGCAACCATAGTTTTCAGTAGTGTCACAGCAGGTAGTATATAGGACAGGATTCTGTAGACAAAGGAAATCAGCAAGGTACCAGACAGCAAAGAGATGTCTAGAGAGTTTTAGAAGTTGGCAGAAGGCTTGCCATACCTAATCTTCATTTTATTATTGATTAGTGCATAAGTGTAAGGTTTCGAAAAAATCCATTGGAAAGGAATATGTGGGTAAAATAAAAGTTTTCTTATGTTTTAAAATCTCTATAAGAAGTCATTATTATTCAAATTAAATATAATTACAATGCAGTATAGCTGGGCATAGTGGTATATGCCTGTTATGCCAGTGATGCAGGAGACTGACACAAGAGGATTACAGGTTCCAGGAAAACCTCAGCAATTTAGACCCTTTCTCAAAGTAAAAATAAAAAGGGTTGGGAATGAAGCTCACTGGTAGAACACTCTTGTATTCAGTCCTCAGTAACACACACACACACACACACACACACACACACACATATGCTAATGCATGATAAGAGTTTATGACATATGTAGAATTAAAACATGGACAATAGTGTGAAGGTCAAAAGACAATACTGTTGTAAGATTATTATACTGTATTTGACATAGTATAATATTGTATAATGGTTGACCAAGGCAAGTTAAACATATCCATTTTTAATCCTAAAGGAAATAACAAAAGCAGCAATACTAGCAACTCAAAAGCTAAGCTGAAGAGAAATGAAATTTTAAAAATATTCAAAGTAAGGCAAAAGAAGAGGGAAAATATTAAAAAAAATAGGTGATAAGAACAGTGAACAAATTGTAAGATGGTTGATTAAAGCCCAGCTATATCAGTTTTCATATTAATGGTTTAAATACCCCAATTAAAAGATAGATATTGTCTAGATTGCATAAGAAAAAGCAAGACTACATACTAACTATATACTCTATAAAAAATCCATTTTTAAAGACACGGGTGTTAGAAAGAAAGGAAGAAAAATTAATGTTAGCACAAATTTAAAAAAAAAAGGATGGAAGGGCTAATTATTAACAGACTAAGATAGAAACCTTCACTAAAATGGGCCATATTTAATGCCATAAAATCAAATATTAAATTATAGCAAATATTATTTTCTTGATAAGATTAAATTAGAAATTAATTATTAAAAGATATGGGAAAAATCTATAAGTACATGAAAGTGAAACAACATACTTCGAAATAACCTACAAGTCAAAGGAGAAAACTCAAGGGAAATTAGAAAGTACTTTGAACTGAAAAAAAAAAAAATGTTGAAGTCTGCGGATGCCACTGTAGAATTCAATGCATATATTAGAAAACCAGAAAGTTTTCTAATTCGTGACCTCAGTTTCTACCACAAGGAAAAAAAAAAAAAACCTAGAAGAAAAAGAGAAAATTTAATTCAAAGTAAGCCCTCAAAATTGAAATAATAAAGAGGAAAAAAATCAATGAAATAAAAAACAATAGAGAAAATTGAGTAAAAAGCTAAATATTTGTGAGAATCAATGAAATTGATAAACATGTAGTGAGAATAATGAGGAAAATAAAAAATACAGATTGCCCATACTAGACATAAGAAAGAAAATATCACTAATTTTTACAGAAATATAGAGGGACTCAAAAAAAATTCAGTCATGGGCTGGGGACATAGCTCAGTTGGTAGAGTGCTTGCCTCGCATGCACAAGGCACTGAATTCAAAAAAAGTAATAAAATCAATATCATTCATAAAATTAATCTTATATAACATTGAACAGAACATAAATATTGGGGAAGAGTTTAGAAAGTATTTTGTTAAAATTTAAAATTTTTGACAGTCAATAATAATGAACAATTCTATATATAATAATTTCTAAAATGTCTAAACTACCCCTGGAAACACCTGCACTGAAATTCAAATACAAAACATTTTAACATGAACCAAGAGCAATGATATAATAGCATGAACTTATGGAAGTAAAGTCAGTTGCTCAGTTTACTGAAGAACAGTTAAGAACTATTAAGAATGAAAAGGTATCCTCTTGAGATATAAAGTAATTTAAAGAGGATTTGGGGAAGTGATTTTTTAAAAAATTTACAAACTAATAATAATAATAATAAGAAGAAGAAGACAAAAATGGAAGGGTAGTCTGCTCTAGTTATATAAAAATAGTTTCCAGATAGAGGCTCAGTAGTGTAAAAGTTTCTGGCCAGAAGATGAGTTTCTTCAGATTAAAACTTGTCTCAGCAATTACTGTGAGAATTAGAGAATGTGTCTTGAAGTTCATTCTGAAATTTATTTATTACTTTTATTTTCAAATCTACATTTTGCTACTTTGTATTTTATTTACTTTAAAAAAATTATAATCTCTCAATGTAACTACTTTTTGCAATGGGATATTCATTGTAATAACTTATTTATATTTAGTGGTGATTTATTCTGAAAAACTATAGGAATACATTTTGTTTTCCTAAACTTGTCCATAGTATATATGTCATTGTCAGATATTCCTTAAGAAGTAAAATAATTGAGTAACAAAAACAGCATGGTATTGGCACCAAAACACACTGGTAGACCACTGGTACAGAATAGAGGACACAGAGTCTAACCCACAAAACTACAATTATCTTATATTAGACAAAGGTGCCAAGAACATGCACTGGAGAAAAGATAGCCTCTTCAACAAATGGTGCTGGGAAAACTGGAAATCCATATGCAACAAAATGGAATTAAACCCCTATCTCTCACCATGCACAAAACTCAACTCAAAATGGATCAAGGACTTAGGAATACAACCAGACACCCTGCATCTAACAAAAGAAAATGTAGACCCTAATCACCATTATGTGGAATTAGACCCCAACTTCCTTAATAAGACTCCTGTGGTGCAAGAATTAAAATCAAGAATCAATAAATGGAATGGACTCAGACTAAAAAACTTCTTCTCAGCAAAAGAAACAATCTGTGAGGTGAATAGAGAGCCTACATCTTGGGAGCAAATCTTTACCCTTCACACATCAGATAGAGCACTAATCTCTAGGATATATAAAGAACTCAAAAAGTTAAATACCACAAAAACAAATAACCCAATCAACAAATGGGCCAAAGACCCAAAGAGACACTTCTCAGAAGATGATGTACAATCAGTCAACAAATATATGAAAAAATGTTCATCATCACTAGCAGTTAAAGAAATGCAAAACAAAACCACTCTAAGATTTCATCTCACTCCAGTCAGAATGGCAGCTCTTATGAATACAAACAACAATAAGTGTTGGCGAGGATATGGGGAAAAAGGTACGCTCATACACTGCTGGTGGAATGCACAGTGGTGCAGCCAATATGGAAAGCAGTATGGAGATTCCTTGGAAAATTGGGAATGAAACCACCATTTGACCCAGCTGACCCTCTCCTCAGCTTGTACCCAAAAGGACTTAAAAACAGGGACACAGGCACATCAATGTTTATAGCAGCTCAACTCACAATAGCTAAACTGTGGAACCAACCTAGATACCCTTCAATAGATGAATGGATAAAAAAAAATGTGTCATATATACACAATGGAATATTACTCAGCAATAAAAGAGAATAAAATCATGGCATTTGCAGGTAAATAGATGGAGTTAGAGAAGATAATGCTAAGTGAAGTTAGCCATTCCCAAAAAATCAAATGCCAAATGTTCTCTTTGATATAAGGAGGCTAATTCATAGTGGCATATGGAGCGGCGGGAGATGGGAAGAATAGAAGAACTCTAGATAGGGCAGAGGGGTTGGAGGGGAAGGGAGGGGGCATGGGGTTATTAATGATGGTGGAATGTGATGATCATTATTATCCAAAGTACAGATATGAAGACACGACTTGGTGTAAATATGCTATGTATACAACCAGAGATATGAAAAATTGTACTATATATGTGTAATGAGAATTGTAATGCATTCTGCTGTCATATATAAATAAAAAAGGTAAAATAATTGAAAGGAATTAAAACATTGTCAATATGAAATAAAATCTCTGTGTGTTTCAAGAATGCTAAATTTTGGGAAAGTAAAGTTAACATTGATTTCAGCTTGGAAAATATAAAAAGAATTTAAAATAAAAAATCATTATAAAACTATTTATGATAGGTTTGATATTTAAATAATTTTGAAAAATGAAATTCTTTTTCCTTCTTCTTTAGGCTATTCACTCTGTTGCTTGGCATCATGAAGGAAAACAATTTATTTGCAGTCATTCAGATGGTACCTTGACCATCTGGAATGTGAGGTCCCCTGCTAAGCCTGTACAGACAATCACACCACATGGTAAGAATACCTTGATTTTAAATACTTCTTGAATTATAACATAAACTCTTTGTTTTTTGAGTTTGCTTTTGTGTTTGTTCAGTTTTTAATGAATATTGTATTTATTTAATATGATATTTCATCTTTTGAATATCATTTCTTTAGTAATCCAAAAAGCAAATGGTCTTTTGAGTGAGGTAGGACTCTAAGCTTTTGTCATCTTAAAGCTATCACTTGCAAGTTGTCAGTGTTATATGAAACAATGTGCTTGAAACAGGCGTACCTCTATAGGATGAATTTTATACATTAAACTTGGGATTTGAGTGTTCCCAATTTATCCCAGATTTAACGATTGACTGGGAAGACTCTCAGGACTCAGCATATAGTCATATTGCAATTGTGATTTATTACTGCAAAAGAACATAGAGCAAAATTGGCAAAGGGAAAAGGCACTTGTATAAAATATGGAGAAAAGTAAGTTCAATCTTCCAAGAGCCCTCTCCCCATGGAGTTATGTTGGACATACTTCATCATTCTAGCAGTGAGTTGTTGTTACCACATGTGAGAAATATTATCTATCAAATAAGCTCACCTGAGCCTGTGTGTTTTTATTGTTCGTCATATAGGCTTTAGCATGTACCAAAATTCCAGATTCCCAGAAGGAAAGTAGAGGTTCAGCATAAACTACTTTCTTTGTTCAACAGTGAGGCACAGTGATCCAACCTTATCAGTCAGATAATAATGGGAGCTGCCTCAAAAGGCAAAGTCCCAGACATCAACCAAAAGGTAAATTTGCAAGTAGATTTTTCTAGGGATAGCAGTCTCTGGCCTGCTATATTAACTTTTTTTTTCTGTATATATAGTATTTTAAAAACTGCTGTGAAAATTGTATTAGGTTATTTATTAAAGCTGAATTAAGAAGTCCTCTTTTAATTTTGAATCCATATTTTTTGGATCGATCTGAATTCTCCATCCCTAATCCAAGAGAATTCTTCCTGAGAAATTTAGAGAAATCACATTTAAAGAAACTATTATAAACTGATAATAATAAAAGATAATCTTTATAGCTATTGCTAATATTTCATTTCTTGCTTTAAATATAAATAATCACTTTCTAAATATTCTGAGTTATTGCTATATTGATATTAAAGAAACAATAAAATTAAAAAACAAGTTTTATCTGTCTGTGGCAGTATGGGTTTTTAGGCTTCTGTTCCTGTGAGAATAGCAATTCTTGACATCAAGATATACTTTACTATTGCTCTGTAATAAGAGTCCTCTGCTGGAAAAACACTTACTTTAAAAAATTTGCAGCAGGGCTATTTACAAGTGAATCTAGAATATATCCGTTATGATAGTAGATTTTAGTTTTTCTTAGTGTATTTTTCTTCTTTCTTTCATTAATGCCTAGGTTCCTAATCTTGTTGATACTCTTGAAAATTCCCGTAAGTCTTAGAATCCTCTAACCCCACTGGGAAATCTAGAAAATTTAGAAAACCCAAAAAGTAGAGATAAGGGCAGTTAGCTCAAACACCTTTCCTTTCAAATTCAGAAGAAAATACAACTAGTATCAAAGATAGTAGAAATATATAATGATGCTATTGCATCTTGAAGTTTATCTGTTTTTTCTTTTAAAGAATAGTACTAGGACTGGAGGTGTCGTTCAGAAGTAGAGCACTTAACCTAGCATTTGCAAACCCAAGGTTCAATCCCCAGCATTGCAATATTGCAATAAAAAGAAAGCGCTAAGTGCATTTTCTTTTTGAAACCATAGTTGCTATAGTGCCCAGTCACCCCTAATTATTCTATGGTGTGTGTGTGTGTGCGCGTGCATGCCCACACACACACATACACACAAACATATATATACATGTATATATATATATATATATTTTTTTTTTTTCCTAATAAAACTTTCTCCTCTCAACAAGTTTTGTCTTTTATCAGAAAATACTGCGTGTTAATTAGATTTGGTTGCAATGTTTCTTCAGTCTTTAAAATCTGGAACAGTTATTGAGCCCTTTTTTTTGTTTTTAACTTTCATATCAGGTAAATTATAAAAATTATTAAGCACTTATTTTGTACATAAATGTGCTTCAGTATTGCCTGATGTTTTCTCATGATTAGATTCAGGTTGCACTTTTTTAGCAGCATATCCTAGAGAGATTATAATGTATTATTATTTTTAATTTTTTATGATTTTTTTAGTATTTCTTACATGACAGTAGTGGAGTACATTACATTCATAATTTTTTTGCATTAAAATTCTTAATACACCTTTATACCACAGTTTATCAAATCTCTGTTTGTACATATGTTATGTTGACACCAAATTTACATCTTCATACATGAATTTGGTATAATGATGACCGTCTCCTTCCACTGTCCTTATTATTTTTACATCTTCTCAAGTAAAACCTTTTGTGCGTGTGCTCTTGGGAATGGAACACAGGGCCTACCTCATTCTAGCTAAGCACTTTACCACTGAGTTCCACCTCTAGCCCCCAAACTTATTTTTTCTTTCTCTCATATTGGCAGTATCTTTTGATTCCTTGATTAGGAATATGTGTGCTGTGTCTCTACTATAAACTTATTCTTTTTCCCTTTGAAATTAAGTATTTTTAATTTATATTATCAATAAGTATGTTGATATGAATTACTTTCTTTGAGATTATGTGCATACTGCTACTCATCAGACTTTTCCCTCTAATTTTGGTATCTATTGATGTTTCCTACCTCAATTATTACTCTAATATTGCCAAGTAATAACTTTTTTTAATCTAATCTTGTTTTTGTTTTTCATACTACGAACAGGTCTTTAAGAGCAAACTTTATAAATCATATAAATCAGTCTCTACAATGTTTGTAGTGTGTTAGAAAAGGATCATTAGCTAAAATTATTTTTAAACCAGTAAGATAAAGAATATTTGACTTACTATCTTTTCTCAGAATTAGAATCCAAACAAAATGTAAATATGGCTTTTGTTGTCCAATATAGTAGTCTAAATGTAGGTGGTCAGAATTTTATTTTATTTATTTATTTACTTATATAAAATAGTGTTTGATTTCTATGCATATTTCTGTTATGCTTTGTTTTTTTACAATGTTTCTGAAGTGACTATGCTCTATTCTGTTGGAAGAATGGCCTTTTAGTTGCATAGCCAAAGACTTTTAATATTTTCTGATTCCTTAAGGTGTTATATTATTTTGTCAAGTAATATTATTATTTTTTTAAAGTATTCGGTAAATATTTTGACAATGACCTTTTGAAATAGCCATAAGTTAGAAAGATAATGTCACAACTAAGGTGATTTTTTAAAAAAATTTATAAAAGCCAAACTACAATAAGGTATGAATTTGTCATACTGTTAAAATTGTTAACAAAATGTATTCACTCCCAGTTAATAGAATTTTTTGAGTTTAAAAGCTAAGGAAATTTTTATTTTATTATATTTTAAAATAATTTCTAAGTGTTAACAGCAAGACTGAGTATAATTGTAGTTTTTATTTTCTATGGAACAGACTTGATAAACTGGAGACCCTGAAGCAGGAATACCCAAATAGTAGTGTCTGGATTTTAGGTGTAACAGAGGCCTTTATGTGCTACACATAATTTGTACAAACTTTTATATGTACAAATTGGATTCAAAAATAGTTCTCCCTTTTCCTAGGGGAATGCAGTAAATGTACCATGGTGAATAAATATAACTTTTATAATCCCAAAAAGATAAAATAGTGTTATTTTATTTTATACAAATAATTCATACTTTTAAAATATGAATTCTAAGAGTTCTAATCTTTTTTATTACTTACTTATTAACTTATTGTTGGTGGTATATAACTTACTAAAGCAGTTTTGTGTTCACAACTGAGTTCCATGGCAAAGTCGTGTCCATTTTGATATAGTAAAGTACAGAGATATGATTTATATATCTTGTTGTGGTATGTGTATCTATTCTTTACATATGATATTTGTGATACATAATTTTCAGAATAACAACTATCTGTTGATGAATTGAAATTTAGTTCTTTTGGGGCTGGGGTTGTGGCTCAGTGGTAGAGCACTCACCTAGCATGTGAGAGGCACTGGGTTCAATCCTCAGTTCCACATAAAAATAAATAAATAAAATAAAGGTGAAAATATATATATATATATATATATATATATATATATATATATATATATATATATATTAACTTTAGTTAAAATATAGTTCTTTTTTTCTCATTGTTGTCTTCTATTATGGTCTCTTGATCTTAATTTTAGCCAAACAGCTATGGCAAATTACTTTGAATCTACTAGACTTTTAAAATTTTGTACATTTTTGGTGTTTTAAATTTAAACCTACCTAATAGTTATTCAAGTATCTTAGTCTTGGAAAACATTTATAGTATTACCTTGATAGTCAGGAACCAATTGAACTCCTACTAGTATTTTACTTTAATGTTTATTGTTACAGGGTTTCATACTTAAAATAGGTCAAGATAGCCTTGAAGAATGTGTTCACAAGATTTATTGTTACATTAGCCTAAAGGGATTTTAACTCCAAAAGACACATATGTGGTTATAGCCTTTTAGTTCCATAGTTTTTGGTTCTGTGAAGTTGGTTAATGTTTCTGAACCTCATTATTCTTATATATAAATAGAGATAATAATGAAAGTTAATATGGCCTCTTCACGTGGTTGTGAGAATTATATATGTTCATTCAATAAATATTTATTGGTTCCACTGTATAAGTACTATTTTAGGTATGAATCATATAAGCAATATGTAAGTAAAAGTACCTGGAAATTATTAGGTGCTATAAATGTGTGATTCTAGTAAATACAAATCTGGAAGGATAGATTAGTTTTCAAAAATATAGTTCACAAATACTGTTTATTTTTTTCTTATTGATGAGTTATTTGGTCTAAGAAGTATGTAATTGTCAAAGAAGTTTTAGAAATGCTAAATTAAATTTTTCTTCACTATAAAACACAATAGGTGATTTTTTGACTCCTTAAACAAAATGTGATAGCT